CTTGCCCTTATGAGATTGATCCACTTACTTGGGAAATACTTCCTTACTGGGACTCTCTGCAAGTCAAGGCTAAATAGGATCCTGGAATGAGGCACCTGTGACAGGGAGGGGTGCAAAAAGTCTAGGCCAGCTCCTTGGTTTTGCACCCCTCCCTGTCACAGGTGCCTCATTCCAGGATCCTATTTAGCCTTGACTTGCAGAGAGTCCCAGTAAGGAAGTATTTCCCAAGTAAGTGGATCAATCTCATAAGGGCAAGCATAAGGGCAGGCTTATGCAATATATGATCATATAATGTAACTAAACCCCCATTATTTTTTGCCTAGGTGAGGTGTTTTTAAATAAAACTATTACAATCTCTAAAATTTTGAAAGCATTGTTTAGTGAATAAGCGAGTGCGCTGGATTCTGTATTTTTATATATATATATATATATATATATATATATATATATATATATATATATATATATATATATATTGTAACAAACCACCTCTTTTACAGGTAGGATTGTCACCGATCTTGCAGTAACCACAGCCTTCTAGGGTATACAAAGTCCAGGACACCTTCAGCTTAGTTTTCCTTTTTATTCAGTAAGAAAGCAGGTACTTTAAATAATAACAAAAACAAACAAAATCCCTTGCTCTTACTTGAGCTCTTACTAGACAGTAATTGCTATCTGCAATTGGGTGGCTTTCCCACTTACCAATTTTCCAAACAAAAGCAATGTCTTTGCCATAAACACAATCTCTCCTAGCTGTCTTTTACTCCCTCACTCTGCAGCAGGCTGCTCTCTTCTTTTAAAGGCCTGTCTACTAATTGAGTAGCTACAGGTGAGTGCCAATTAGTTAACTCTTAAAATCAGATCCAAGCTGTGGTCTGTTATACAGCAACTAGTGCTGTTGGAGCATTGGCCCACCCTGCTCTCCAAATACTCCGCCCCAGGGACCCATACCATGTTTTGCAGAGCATCAGCTATGCATATTGCAAACTTTAACCTCTCTCCCTGGGGCATTTAACTGAAAAATCCTCTGGTTGCTGTTTAGCAAATCAGGTCTGATGTATCTCCCATCAACCACTATTCCACCTTTACGCTCACATAATATATATATATATATATATATATATATATATATGTGTGTGTGTGTATATATATATATATAATATTGTACTTGTGATCATATTTGCCATGTGACAATCATCAGATCATGCCAGTTTATATGATGTTTTATGTCTAACATACTGTAGAATACAGAAATGAATGAACTTACATTTTTTTTTTTTTAAATCAATATGCGTCGTATGTTGCCTGGCAAGTCTGGTCAGTAATGTAGCATTGAGTTGACTCCAAAGGACTGTTGCTTTAGTTGTTCTTGGCTTGCAGGCAAGCTAAGATTTGTTTCCAGAAGGTTTTAGAAAGGCTCGATATTTTAATGCACACACATTCTCAGAGCAAGCCCAACGGAGAACACAGCGTGACATTTCCTATAACAAGATTTTCAAATCTAGCAGTTTTCATTCGTTTCAAGCTGAATTTTGATCAAATATGTGAAATCCACAAAATATCAAACTGTCTATTAAACAAATTACATGGCTGATTTCCCAATGGATGTCGTTGGTGATGTAACCTTTCTGGCTTAAGGTGAAAGAAGATGTAGCAAAAGTGAACAAACAAAAGGATTGAAATAGCAAATAAATGGAAGCAGGCATGAAAGGGGGGAGAAGTGGGGCTGACATGGAATGGACAGTGTGAAATCTAGCAACTATGGGGGAATGATGGAATACTGACTTGGTAGGAAGTATGGGGAATGAGAGTTGAGGAGAAGCTGGTGTGTATAGTAAGTGGATATATTGTTGTGTAACAGGCAATCTATATACTGAATTATCTTACTGTACCATCTG